CTAAGTGGTGCAACCCATGTGGTGTAATCTATTCATATATGTATTATTGTCTGTGGTGCAGCCTATGAGGTGCCATATGTGGAGCAGTCGATGTGGAGCAATTGATTTTTACCCATGAATTGACACATCCCACGCTCTTGCAAGCATCCCACCCACCCACCCGCAACTTGGTTTGCAAAACCTCTTAAGACCGACAACGACACCGACGACAACGACTACGACGACACCGACGACGTCTCCGACGACTTCGACAACGACAACGACGCCGACGCCGACGACGACGAAGGCGACGACGACGCCAACGAAGACGACGACGAGGGAGGAGGAAGGACGACGACGGCGACAACGACGACAACGACGACAACGACGAGGGAGGAGGGAGGACGGCGATGACACGAACGACGAAGAAGGAGGAAGGACGGCGACGCCGACGACGACAACGACGAGGAAGGAAGACGACGACGACAACGACGACGACGACGGCGACGAAATAGGACGCCGACGACGAGACGCCGACGACGGACCACGACGACGACGACGAGGGAGGAGGAGGAAGGACGACCACGGCGACAACGACGACGGAAACGACCACGACACCAAAGAGGACGACGACGACGAACACGAGGAAAGACACAGGACGACGTAGGCGACGACGACGACGCGGGAGGAGTGCGGACGGCGACAACGACGACGACGACGACGCCGCAAGAGCGCGCGCGCACGCTTTTGTTGAAAATCCGTTTTGCGAAATCTTGTGGTTTTTGTAGGTTTTTTGGACGCGCGATTTTGAAATCCTTCCGAAACCGATGGGTTTTGAAGGATTTGGCGTACGCGCGCGACGACGTGCGCGTCTGCACTTCGTCTCATCTGTTTCAGAGGATTCTCGCGACGGCACACGCGCAAGAGCGTTCGACAGACTTCGACATGCGCGCGCGACGCCCGTTTGGTAGCATGTTGTGAAAATCTTGAAAGAAAACAACGGTTTCCTTAAGATTTCGCAAGAGCTCGCGCGTAAGCTTTTTTAGCAAACCAATGTTGCGAAACCCTGTGTTTTTGTATGTTATTTGGAAACTTGATTGCGAAATCCTTCCGGCACCGAGGGTTTTTGAAGGATTTCGGCATGCGCGCGCGACGACGCGCGCGTGTGCACTTCGTCCTATTTTTTGCAAGGGATTCGTGAAAAAAGTGCAATGTTAGGAAAAAACAATGTCACCGCATAGTTTTTTAACAAGGGAAACTCAGGGGGGTCGATACCGCCCCCCCTGGGACAATGTGATGGGCATGTGGTCAGAATCATATAAGATTTACATACCCGAAAGGGGGGCGATAACGCCGGGGGGGTAGAGTCTATGTTCTTTTTAGAACGGAGAATCTACGTTGTGCAATATATCCAATTGTGCAACAAATGTTGTGCACTCTAGATGGTGCAACATATGGGGTTGCGCAATAAATGTTATGCACTCTGTGGTGTGCACGCTATGTGATGCACTCGATGTTGTGAGCGGCGTTTTTTTGCACAATCCATCTGGTGCAATCGATCGGCAACGGGCGGCAACAGCAGCAGCATAGACGCCAAACCAAGCTTCAGACCCAGATGACGGGCGGCGACGAGGCGGCGACGGGGCTGCGGCGGCCGGAACACAGCCGCCAGACAAAGTTTCTTGCCCCGACGACGGGCGGCGAAGAGGCTGAGACCGCGGGAGCACAACCGCCTGACCAAGTTTCAGGCTCAAGCGACGGGAGGCGACGGCGGGAGCATAACCGCCAGAACAAATATCAGGGCCAGCTCCTTCGAAAAGAACTAAGACACCTGAAGTGCAAACACTGTGAGGGGAATATATATATATATATATATATATATATATATATATATATATATGATTTACGGCTCCGTCCCCCCCATTCATGGTGATCCCTTCGCCCCAACCCCTCCGAGCGATACCCTCCCCCCCCGCGGGCGTGGCATGGTGGACCCCCGTCCTGCGGGCGCGGGGTGGCGAGTGGTGCGGGGGGTAGCTTGGAAGCCCCCCCCCCCCCCCCCTGCAATGCACCCCACTCTGGCGCACAGAAGGGAGGAGGGGAGCTTGGGAAGTCCCCCCCCCTGGAAATGGGAGCCCGGGCTTGCCCCAGGCCCCGAAAAGAAAGGAGGGGGGGGGGGTAGCTTCTGAGCCCTCCCCCCTTTTTCCCAGACGGGGGGTATAGCTGCGGAAGCCCCCCCCCTTTGAAAAGGAGAGCCCGGGCTTGCCCCGGACCCCCAAGGGAGGGAGGCCCCTCACCCCTTCAGCCAGGGCCCACCCCAGCTTAGCTTAATAACGCAGAAAACGAAAAGGGGGGGGTAGCTTTGGAAGCCCCCCCTTTCCGAAGGTCCGAAGGGGAGGGGGGTGGGGAGTTTTCAGCTGGGCCCCCCCTTTCTTTAGCCCCGGCCCTGCGGGCGCGCTCCTTCCTTCCTGTGCGCGCGGCCCTCCAACATCACAGGGACCACAAGGACACTCTCGTGTTTCTCTCCCTCCTGGCCCTGCCGCGCCCAGCTGGGGCGCGCTGTGGCCGTGGGCCAAAAGCAGGCATGGCCTCGCGCAGGGCTGGGGCTGCGGCAGACGAGCGAGAGCCCCCTCGCGAGTGCCCTCTTTTTTTTACGACGACATGGGAGCTGTTACGGATGAAACTAGTTCCACAGGTGGGGTGTCCACGTGCGGCGGGTGCGACCGCACCAGCAGCACCTAAGGCCCTGAATGGTACCGCCGTACCCGCTTAAAGATTGGATACATTCCTTGCTCGTCGCTGCAGTGTCGAGCTGCCTATTGCCTGCTATGCATGGCCTGACGCTGCAACGGTGCAGCTCGCTAGATGCGGGCTGGCATGCGCTGTGCGTTGGAAAACCTTGGGGGGCGGCTCTGGAGGGTGGCCTCGCATTGGCCAAAGCTGAAGACTTACAGACCAACAAAAATCCTGCTATGGCGGGCGACGATAGAGGGGGGAGGGGAGTGCTCCTCATCTCCTACTCCTCGGGGAAAGCAGGAAAGAGGGGGAGTGAATAGGAGTCTAGCCCCGGCTCTGGACGAGGGGGCCTTAGAAGGGACCTCTTGGGGCACATCGTGAGAATAAAAATTCAGCAGCCTCCTCATCAGCGGCTAGATCGTGGGTCTGCACCTCAGGATCTGCATTATCTGAGGGGAGGTCACTAGTGTGATATGCGGGGTCCGTCTCGGGAGCTACTGAGGGCCTCACTGCAGGGAGTATGCCGCCAGATACGAAACGCATAATCCTGTCATTCGTCGAAAGTGGTCCAGCAATGTCGATATCTCCTCCTCCAGCCAACCTGCTGGGGCTGGGTCCAGGTGGTGCTTCGCGATCCCTTCTGAGCGTAGGCCAGCGAGCAGGAGGCTTCTGCCCTGCCAGTCCTTGGCGCCAAGGATCAGCTTGGCTGCGTTCGGGTCGTGAGTCTTGTCGATGCGCAGGAAGGCGACTTCGGTCTGGAGGGTCTCTACGTCGATCAGGGGCTCGAGCTGAGGATCCTCTGGCTGGCATTTCTCGAGGTACTCCTCGATCTCTTTGCGTACTCGACCTCCCGCTTCGCATGTCAATAGCCCCTCCAGCATGGCGAGGGCGAGTGCGGGGGTCGGTGGGCCTAGCATTTGGAGCGCCTCGGTGTCCTTGTTGGTGCGGTAATTGTTGACCCGTGTCTTGAAGCCCTAGAGCTCCGTCGAGATGTGGGAGACTGTCGGGTGGTTGATTGGTAGCGTCCATGTGTCGGCCACCGTGCACATGATCATCCGTATTTTTTGTGTGTTCTGGAGTGTGAGTGTTATCAGCGAGGTGAGCAGCATTTGCATGTTCTTGTCTTTGTTCGTCCACTGCTTGTCGGTGTGCTGCCCTCGGTGAGCTCGTCGTCCGCCTCGGCGCCGAGCACGGCGCGGCTCGTTCTGTTGCTCTTCCACGTCCATGTCGTCGTCCTCCTGGTCCGCTGCTGGCGTCGGTTGGCCCTTGTTGCCCTTGGTCCCCTCGACCTTGCGTCGGCGCTGGGGTGGTTCGTCGGCTTTGGAGTCGTTCCCAGAGGTGCCAGACTTGGTCGAGGACGGTGGCGGGCCTCTCCACGGGGCGCGTGCTCCGCGTCGCGGTGCTGCTTTGGGCTGGACTATGCTCGGCGCCGCTGCTGGTGGCGTGCTGCTGTCCGCTGCTGAGGCCATCAGGTGGAGCTGGTGTCGAGCTGCTGGCTGGTTCTGCTGGTCGTGGAGGTCGCGGTAGTGTTGGCGTGGACGTCAAGGCTGTAGTAGTCGCACTGCTGGTGTCGTGCGTAGGTGGTGGTCGTCGATGTTGCGGCCGTCGAGCTCGTGATGTAGTTGATGCTATGGCTGAAGCCCGAATATGTGCGCCCAACTGAAGCGTCACTGCCTGTCGAATCCCTTGTCGGAGCAGAGCGGTGCCAGATGGTCGCCGCAGTGGGGCGGCGAGGAAACGCTTAGGCACTGTCGGTCCGCGCGGGCGTGCCTCCCTCGCCGAGCGAGGCAATGTCTTGAGCCAAGGGCCACGCGGCGACGGAGGGATGTGCGTGCGGAGGTGGGGTCGGAGCTCGTCGATGTCGTAATAGTCTCGCTGACAATCGATGTTGAGGCTAATGTGCTCGAGCGGGCATCGCGTGGCGTGGTAGGCTGCCACGCGTGCGCGTGTAGGGTGCGATCGACGAAGCATCGCCCTTCGATCCAATACCGTCGGTGATGGGTCTGGCAATATTAAATAGAGCCATATACACTGTCACGAACCAAGCATTTGTTGTCGAGAATGATCGATGATAAAATAGTGGGGGCTCCGTGTCCTGGGAGTGCTGCTGTTGTTTGATGTACAATAAGTGCAGAAAAAGTGCGGAAGGCCTTGATGCAGCCCTCGATGTTGCAGACGAACGGGTTCGGATCCTCGGGGTCGCTGTCGGGGTCTCCCAGGGGGGCCTCGGGCGGCAAGTAGCGGTGACTTGGTGGGGCCCACGACTGCGAGACATACGCCTGCCGTCAGTAGCTGAAATCGATCTGCTGGAATGCCTCCTGGATCTCGGGGTCCCTGAAAATCTTCCGAATGTCGTCGTCAATGTCCCAGAGGCCACGGAGGTCGTCGCCCATGGGGGCCGCCTGGGCACCGAGGAGGTCCTCGCGGAGCTGGCGGGCCCAAGGGTGTACTTTAGGGTCCGTGCTGAGAGCACCTGATTCGGTGAGGGTATTGGCGGAAGTAGGAAGGCCTTGCGAAGCACATCGATCTTCAATCTGGCACCGCCCAAAGAACCCTGAGAGAAATTGCTCGTGATGCCCAGCCTCTTTACTAATACTCTGCCGCCATTTCAAACGGCGAGCGCATAGTTCAAGAGACGTGGGGGCGATGCCCCAGACAGTGAACAACTCACGAATGGTGAGTGAATGATGCTGGCCGTCGCTGTCAATGCAATGTGAATCGCCCATGAGCATACATCGAAGGTTTTTTGTTGCTTTGCGAGGCTCGCATCGATCCGCGCCGTCTCGGCACGGGTGAGTGCAAGTGCTTCCAGGCCTGACCATGCACGGCTCGCGACGTTGGCGAGGAAGACGAAGCGTTTGCAGCGTTTTGGCGTGGCTGAAGTCCAAAAATGAGTAAGCCGTGTCCAGCCCATGTTACAGGCTCGAGGCTCGAATCCGTTCCTCCACCTCACGGGTGTTGTAGCCGTCGACATGGATATAGGAGCCGGGGTGGATAAGATTGGTCATGCATGTGCCGCTTAGCTGTCGTTCGGCCTGCTTGGTGGCGTTGCTGGTCGCGAGTCGTACTAATGTCTCCTGCTTGTGCGCATTCTGCGCATATCCACCATGTCGGAGCTTGGCATTCGTACTAGAGACGTCGATGCAGTCTATTGCTAGGGCCTGTCGGAGTGCGCCGTCGGGGACGACGATCGCACGTGCGATGTCGTCGATGAAGGCGCCCATGTCGATGCGATGGGCGGTGCCTGTGATGGGGTTGGTGCAGATGAGGCCGTCTCCAATGACGGCATTGAGCCCTGCGCCCCAGTCAATGATGAGTGGATAGAAGGATTCCATGAAGAGCTCGGGCTCGTTGCTGTCGCCCATGCGGCCTCCACTGCCAGGGTGGAGTCCGATGATGTCGTCACTGGCATCGATGCGCATGGTGGCGCGGAGTCGATGTTGCGTGAGCATGTCCTCGAAGTGGGGATCGTCGGTGCGTACTCGATGTGCTGCCAATAATCGGTCAGTGTCGCCTGTGCCGAAGGCGTTGCGCATGTCGTAGCTCTTCGCGAGGTGTGGGATGTGTGCACTGCGTAGCTTGAAGGTCGCGATGCGCGCGAGCGTCATGAGGCCTTCTCGTCTTCGAGCACGGATGCCACCATATGCCCATGGTGGGGGTGTGTATGCACTGCCAAAATCAACCAATCCGCTTCGGAGATAGAGCCGCCAGAAAGGACAAAAAACGTGCAGCATTCGTAGGCAGTTGTTGAGGTCGTGGACTGGATCTCCGCATGGATGTTTGCCTTTCTTGCTGATGGCTACGGTCTGGCTGGTGTAGGACTGAACTGGTAGGGTTTCTGAGTCGCGTACGTGTTGGAGAAAGTGGGTGAGCATTGTGCATGGGGCGCGGGCGTGGCCGTCGTCAAGAGTGAGCTGGCGTTGGTCGGGGCGTCGTGGTGGGCGTCGTGGTGGAATTGCGGGGTCGTCGTGAGTCGTATCGTGTCCAAGTCCATGTCGGGGCTGGTGGTGGTTGGGATAGTCGGTTGGTGCGTATCCAAGTCCGCTGCGTGGAAGTCCTGGTCTGCTGAGATATGTCGGGAATAACATCATAGTAGTCAATTCAGTAGGCCATGACCAGACAGGAGAAAATTTGCGATGCTTATTCGTCCAAAGTCGTTTGGCCATAGCGTCGAGGTCCTGTGCCGCAGAGAGGAGAGAGTCTAGTGCGGGGTCCACGCGGTACTCGCCGACGATGTGGATGTCGTTCTCGGGGCGCTGGTGGAGCTCCTGGGCGGCGGCGTCGCTTGAGACGTAGATGCTGAGGTGTGTAGGTGTCGCCGCGAGGCCGCCGTCGGTGGCGGGCTTGCCGAGGGCGGCGCAGTAGTGGTCAGATGCGGGTCGTACACTCGGGAATGCCAAATAGTTACGTTTCTTCGGGCCTGCCTTAGTGCCTGCACGATGTCTGCTGAACTCGGCGACTCGTGAAAGATCGCGGTGGTGGTAGGCATCGGTGGTTTGTTCGTCAAGAAAGTGGTGCCACCGTGCCCGTTTCCATTTTGCATGTTCACGGAGTCGGCGAGAGATGAGCTTGAGGTGGATGTCGTCGACCGCCATACCTTTGTCACGTAGTTGTGCACGTTCTCGAAGGAGTTCTTGTCGTGTACGCTGAGCGTCTTTGAGCCAAACTGGATGTCCTCCGTGACGTGGGTAGTGAGGGATCGCTGCTTGCTGGACCAGATATGCGACGTATGCTGCATGTCGGTCGGGAAGCTGGTCGTGTTGGAGAACTCGGAGAGTATGCGCGTGTTGTGTGAGCTGCTGATGTAGGTCACGTAGAAATTCAGCGCGTCGGTATCCTGTCTGTAGTCCTGCTGCCAGCAGGGCCCAGTCCCATCGTGGTGCATAGTCTGTAGAAGATGACGTTGGGCAAGTCAGTTGAACATGAATGAGCATTGGGATGTGGTCGAGCATGTGGGGAAGGACACGCAGGCGTAGGGAACGCGTCAATCGGGCCGATCCAATAGTCAATTCTGCTGCGAGCACCGCCATTGCCGAAAAAAGTCGGCCCAGTATTCCAGAAAGTATTATACGCGCAGAGCTGGTTGAGGATGAGACTTTCATGAATGGATGTGTCTACGGTAGTCTCTGGGGCGGGCTGCTGTGGTCCGATGCTGTCGTCAGTACATAGTGCCCGATGGCGGCGTCCCATGCCTTGGTTGAGGTCGCCGAAAAAAAAGGGGCGTCATACGCGTCGGAGTAGAGGCAATCTCTGTTGTAATCCACTGCCAAATTCGTGTGCGTGTCCGTTCCGTAATCTTTGCATTTGAACTGTGTGGGACTGGGGGTAGGTAGCCCACGATCAGTCTAACTCGAAAATGTCCTCGTACTATATCAATAGAGCCTGCACGGCCCTGTAAGTCATATGGCGGGGATGCGATTCTGACCACGTGCTTGGGAGAGAAACGTCGCTTAGATATTGCGATGGAGCATCCACAGGCGGAGGTAACATGTGGGGACCGACCCCAGCCCCAGTGTATCCAGAAATGGTGTCGGGATTCTTCACGATGATGTGATAGCTGTGCGATCTGTCGAATGTGTGTACCAGAGCATAAGATACCGTACTGGTTGCGAAACTCATGGCTGATGGAGTCGGTCCTTCCAGGGAAACTAATTAGTGAATATGGGTTCCAGCCTACGAACTTTGCGTTCTCGCTGTGTCGTACTAAGCTGCTGCATCGTCGCCATGTCGTCATTCAGGGTCTTCCTCCAGTAGCGCCGCGCCACGCGGCGGCGCACACGGAGCGTCTGGGCCAGCCTCAGCAGGCTGGGGGATCCATGGCGGGAGACTGCACGAGATGCGTGGGAGAGAAAGGGGGAAGTGTGTGAGGCCTGTTCACACGGGAGGACTCGAGCCGTTCGCGGCCTTGCGAGTGCCCTCTCCCTGGGGAACGCCTCTCGCAAGTGCAGGGCTCCTCCCTGCGCCGTCTCCGAAGGCAGCAGGGAAATCGACGCGAATCGACGCTGAATCGGCGCTATCCCATCGCTCCCCAACGCTTCATCGACACGAGTGCTTCTGCAATGCGGAACTGCACGGGCACGCCGGGCTCCCATGATTTGCATGTGTATGCCATGTGTTCCTCTTGGATCCTCGTCACGCAGCCGCTGCCTCTAAGTCGGGCCTGTCCCCCTAAAGGGGGATTTTGGACGAAACATTATTAAAAATAGTCAAACATACCATAACATACTCAAAAATGATCAAAGAATCGTCCCCAGACTATTTTTTTGCTATTTTTGCATTTTCCTCCTGTAGAGGGACAAGCCCGACTTCACGCTGCCTCCGTGCCCCGCCCCGGGGCCTTCCAGCTCTGCGTGCATGGCGCCACGGTTGACGTTGCCCGCCTCGCGCCGGCCAGACGGGGAGCGGTCACGACACCAGACAGCGCACGGGGGGTTCCTGCAGCGTAGAACCCACCAGAGATCGGGAGAGGACGATGAGCCAGACCGGAGATGGAGGAGGAAGAGAATGGGAAGCTGGGCGAGAGCTGGCAAATCCGTGGCTGCTAAAACGGTCTTCCCAGAAGGAACAAACAAATTCCCGGAATCAAGCTCAACGCACTAACTAATAAACGGGCTGCTTCCTGCAAGGGAAAAAACAAATTCCCGGAGCTCCCTTTTAGCAGCCACGGATTTGCCAGCCGTCGCCCGGCTTCCGAGAGAAGGATCACATCATAAGGGAGGAAAGAAGACGAGCGGAGAGGATAGAAGAAAGGCGGATGGGAGGGAGAGCATGGATGAGGTGGATGAAGAGAGCGAAGACAATGAGATTGGAGAAGGAGGGAGGAAGGGTGTGCAAGGAACAAGGAACAGGGAGTATGGTCGAGGGAGGCGGGAGGACGATTACCAAGCTCGCGATCGGCTCACAGGGTACCAAATACCATGTGTTGGGATGAAGCAGCAATCAAGGGCCAGTTGCTCTACGACAACTGTCGCCGCCACTGCCGTCCGCGCCATCGAGCAGGTATGCCAACGCCAGCCCCGACGCCCGCACCTCTGCTCCACATGTCTCCCCCTTCACACCGATGCAAACGTTGACCGAGGGCCTTAGAACGACGATACTTTCTTTTTTGCGACGGCTCAATCTAAAAGGGAAAAATGTCACGCGGCACATCTGAACCCAGAGTGGCGAGAATGTCGCTGGCGAGACTGGCTGGACCACCTCGCGTGCTGCATCTCCGAGCCCAGATGTCTCTGGCGGAACTGGCTGGACCTCCTCGCGGGCTGCATCTCCGAGCCCAGCGATGCGGGGACGCCGCCGTCTCCGAGCCCAGAATTGCGAGAACATATCAAGCCAGACTGGCCAGACCGCCACAGTTCAGGGCAACTCCGAACCCAGAGTTGCGAGGGTGCCTCTGGCGAAACTGGCCAGACCACCTCCGATGTTGGCGGATGCCTCTGAGCGCTAGCCCCTTGGCCAGAACTAGCGTCTTCTGCAACAGGACCCCAGTCAGCACAGCTGTTTGGGGAAGCGCGGTAAAGGAGGGCGCGCGAATGTGAGCGGAAGGGGGACGCGAGGGACGAGGAACGGACAGGAGGGAAGGGGGTAAGAGAGGCGACACTTCCAGCTGGGCTTCCCTGGTTGCGCCATGCTTTAGATGGTATGTATGGTAATGTCGACATGTGCACCTGCTGGCAAAATCAAACACCTGCTGACAAAACCTGTGTGCACCTGATGGCGTTTCTCCAATTCTCGCATTTTCGGACTTCCGCCGGTTCAAGATGGCCCTAGAGATTCCAACATGGCCCCACGACGGCCTAAGAGTGCCTCAAGATAGCCCAAGCGGCCTACAAGACGGCCTGAGAGTGCCCATGGACAACCCAAGACGAATCCAAGACGGCCTCAAGCTGGCCCCAAGGGTTTCAGATGGACCCAAGACGGCCCAAGAACCCGTGGACAGCTCGGGACGGCCGCACGACTGCGACAACAGCTGTCGGAAGGGGAAGGAGGAGGAGGAGGAGGAGGAGGAGGAGGCAGAGGAGGAGGGGGAGGAGGAGGGGGAGGAGGAAGAGGAGGAGGGGTGCGAAAGCAGGGAGGCGCAAGGGGAGGGACGCGGTGAAGGGAGACCGAGGAGCCTCGCGCCGTGGATGGTACAGGGTGCCCTTCGGTGGGCCCCCACAGAACCCAGGGGCCCCAGTGGACCAACAGTGAAGGGGCCTACAACACACAAATAAATACACACAAATCCCAAGATTCCCCATATTTTCACATATGTTCTGGGTTTCTGTCTTCCCTCCACTTCCCACATGTTCGCACATTTCCTGGGAATCGACGATTCATTGTGTCCGTGTGTTTTTTTCCTCCTGAAGCAAGGCGGTCCAACACAACCAAAATGCGGCTGCAGCAGTGCCCCAAGGCGGCCCCGCGAGGCAGCCCGAGATGTCCTGCGCGCCTGCCGGGCAGGAGCCAAGGAGGGCCCCTGGGTTGTCCAGCAGGGCACATGCTGACTGGCAACATTTAGGTCGGGCATGTCCCCCTACAGGCGGATTTTGGGCGAAGCAATAAAAGATACAAAACAAATGTCAAACCATATTCAAAAATTGTCAAAAAAACGTCCCCTGACTATTTCACTATTTCTTAATAGTCCCCCTGTAGACGGACACGCCCGACTTCAGGTAACATTGATCCGTCGGCATGATTTTCAGCAGGAAAGGCCGATCGTGGGCTGCACAAGGGGTAAACTTTGGGCAAACGAGACAGCGAGAAACACAAATAATGGTAACACAAACGAAAAGGGAGTGTCGGTGCTCTTCGGAAGATATGTTCCCACGGGCGCAGTCCTGCTTCTGCTGCAAGAATTGCCGCTACTGCGTGTCCTCTTCATCCACCTCCATCTCTTGGAGATAACTTCTCCCTGTCGCGCCCCGAGACGTGTTGTTAGGGCGGGCCGGGCGTTTCGCCTCAAACTTCCTCACCAGTTTAGATCCTGAAACGTAGATTTTGGAATTGATTCACGGATGGAGGGCGGGCGGCTTCCAAAATGTGGCTGTCGCCTTAGCGCGGCGCACATTCGTCTTCAAAGTGCGGTAGAACTTCATAAGATGGTGGTTCTTTACTCAGCGCCGCGAACATGCGGCTTCAAAGTTTGCAAGGGTTCCAATCGTTCCTAAGGTTGACGTCCCAGACATTGTGTGTTGGCATATTTTAACATTGTCAGGGCGCAACAGTCACAATGAGTCTCGGTGTGGTGTTGATGTCCCAAGAACAACGTTGTGGCACGATTCAGGATCGCCCAGACGCAACAGGAACGCTGATTCGCGGCGTTGAAGTCCCAACATTTGTGTCTCAACACAAATGAAGATTCACAGACGGTTGTCCTATCATGGGGTACTTCCCGCAATGAAGCAAACCCTTGCAGGCACCCGTGAAGAAAGGGAACTTGGAGAGAAGGTGTATTGCAACATCGTTGACGCGTCTTGGGCTTGCACTGGTCCTCCTCGTCCCTCCTCCTCCTCCTGCTCCTCCTCCTCCTCCTCCTGGTCCTCGTCCTCGTCCTACCTCTCCTCGTTTCACTTCCTGTCTGGGGGAACAAAATACCGATGCCGCTATTCACTGGACCTCTCCTGGGGTGCGTTCGGACCAGGATTTCGAAGCGAATTCAGCCAAGGCGACGAGTGCAGAACAGCGGTGACCTCCTCTGATCCTCTCCGCGCGTGTCTCTCGTGTCCTCATCCTATTCCTCCGCGTCGTGGTCCTTCCTCCTTGGCGCCTCGGTGTGGATGCCAAACGCCAGCTCGGCAAACGACACGATTCTGCGCCTGGACAGGATGAGGAGGCCGCTGTTCAGGGCCAGCCACGCGGGGAAGAACGGGCACCTGGCCAACAACGTGAAGGAGCGCTGGCTAGCACGTGAGCGACAAAAACCAAGGGGTCTCACGCACGATTACATAGCGACCTTGCATGTTGATTTAAGCAAGCCGCCAGCGCGGCACGCTAAATTGGAAACGAGGGCGCTTGCGCACCATCTTACGCAAGCAACTTACGTGCGACTTTTCGCTCAGTCGCGCCCGATGTCCTGCGCCGCCGCCGCTCGCGTGCGGCTGCGCCAAGCAGAAAACCAAGATTGTCGAAAGGACGTGAAAAGGCGGCACAGACGCTATCACACAGCCCAGTTCCGATAGCGAGAGGAGGAGGAGGAGGAGGAGGAGGAGGAGGAGGAGGAGGAGGTTTAAATTCAAGGGAAGGTGCAGGCCCCGACGCGGTGTCTTTGACATCCTGGGAAGCCCACGAAGCACACGTCTCGTGTCAAGGAAGGGAAGGTGGAGGCCCCGAGGCCATGTCCACGACATCTTGGAAAACCCACGGCCTGGCTGAAGCTAAAAAATCGGGTTGCACAGGAGCCAGGGAATGACGTGGATCTCAAGAAATAATATCTAGAAATGCCACAAACTCGACATGTTGCGCAACTGTTGTCGTACCGATAGCCGGCTCATGTGCGATGACGTAGACGGTATTCCTGTCATGTCGCATAACTGGCTCCACCAAGCCATTGGCATGACCCAAGAAGAAAGGGATGAACGTGTACAACTGATGTTGAATGTATTGCCAAGCTAAGGTGAACACGCAGAACAATAGCCTCACTAATGCCTCAATTTTGGAAATCGAACTAATACGAGCAGCGCGGACATTGAAACATATCAATTCTACAGTCTGCGCAGTCAACATTCTGCGCTTCAGATCTGATAACGACGGGTCGGTAGCGTGTTGCATCACCCTAGTGTCACAGCACAGACAGTAGTGTCACAGCACAGACAGCATCCTTCTCATCGGTATTAACATCAATATCAACATCATCAGCATCAGCATCAGCATCACCAACATCATGATCGCCATCGGAATCGCCATTACCATAATCAACATCTACATCATCATCATCATCATCGTCATCATCATCATCACCATCACCGTAAGCATCATCACCGTCATCATCATCAGCATCATCAGCTTCATCAACATCGGCATCATCATCATCATCATCATCATCATCCTCATAATCATCGTCGTCATCGTCATCGTCATCGTCATCGTCATCGTCAGTATCATCATCATCATCATCATCAGCATCAGCATCAGCATCAGCATCATCATCATCATCACCATCATCATCGTCATGATCCTACTTCTTCATATCCCTCCTTACCGGCATCAACAAATCGGGCCCCCAAAGCATCCATGTTCCGCGCGCTGGCTTTCTATGCCGGAGAAGGTGGAAGTGGAGTGGATAATGGAGGTGGAGGAGGAGGAACCTCTGATATATATATATATATATAGATATATATATATATGTGTGTGTTGGTATATACACACATATACTCTGAGTTTCTGAATGCGCGTCGGGGGGGCGTCACCCCGGCCGACAGCCCCACGTCGATCCCCGTCGCGGGCAGCCGCCGCGCGCCGGAGGCGCTCCGACCCTCGTCGCGGCGCGCCGACGAGGCGAGGTTGACCCCGTCGGGGGGGGGAAAAACCCAGAGTATTGGTCATGCCAGACCTTCCGGCGGAATGGCTCGGATATAGTGCGGTGGGGGTGGAGCCGCCCAGATTCATCAGGGCGGCCATCGCTGGACTTTAGTTACAGTCTCCCGGCACACGGTGTTCTCGAGAACATCTTTACATCGGCCCATGCGTCGAAATAGTAGAGAAGGCGGGGGAGGTAAAGGGAGGGGGAGGAAGCTACTTCGATCGGCTCCGCTCATCTAACAGGGCGCTTGCTCAGCGCCAAGGAGACGGCGCAGACTGGAATCTGGTGTATTTCGACCTTGCCAAAAGCTTCGTGTTCGCCGCTTCACTGTAGGCTCTGCCAGCAATAACAGACTGCATCGGTGCCAGCAGGAGCCAGCAGGAGGAGGAAGAGGAGGACGACCACACCTCCATCAACTCGAAATGTTGAGAACGAGTCGCAGCTTATTAAGCATCGGTGAGGGCAATCGCAGGAAAAAAAGCTTCGCGCACGTGCGGAGGGGGAGGCGGTGGCGAATGACTGGGAGGAGAGCAATTCGGAAACTTACGCATCGCCACCATGTGGCACGAATCGCAACTATAACCCTCGGTGAAAACAATCGTGGATAATACATTCGCGGACGTTTCTGCCAAACGGACTGCCTCAGGAAGCAGGGATGAATGATCAGTCATACGGCCATTTCTACTACGAAAGCCGTCCAAGCCAGCTATTATAGACTAACCCAGCCTTCAGCCTGCATAACATCAGAACTGTTACGCAAGGCCATTGCAGCGAGGGCAGACTCTAGCATCGTGTAGCGGCCGCCAGGGTCCTCGGCGAGGGCAATCGGGCTGTGGTGGGATCTTGTGGAAGTCATGTGTGGAGTGTCCAATTGGACGGTGGAGGATTGCGAAAGCTGACTGTCCCACTCGAGGGCAGCTCGCGGGACAGGCACACGCTACGATACTCGGCCGCAGCTACAGTACACGCATTTCACTTCCTCATTTGAAGCTGGAGGGCATCATATACTTGCCCTAGTGCGAGCCTTCGGTAAGGGTCATACGTCATAATTGACGTGGAGTGGCGGGCTCTTCTTGGGTTGGGAGCGGGGTGGAGTATGGCATGTGAGGAAAGGGGACTACCTTGCCGACGCTAGCAGATCTGACACTCTATGCCCTCGAGGTCTTCCCCACATTCCCGATTACCTTCGCACCGCCAGCGCCGCTGAGACTGCACTCGAGCACGTGATCAGTGCTTGTCTCAGGTGGAGGCAACAGCCCAATCGCTGATGTCCGGCTAATGTGCCAAGGAGGAGGCGGCGGAGGCGGAGGCCGAGGAGCAGGGCTCCCGATCGATCTTCGGCCCCCCGCGGGAGCTCTCCGCGCCCGCAGGCCAGGCGGCGGAGGGGCCTCGAGGGCACCACCGCGTGCACGTAGCCGAGCGCGGCGGCGCCCTCCGCCAGCCGCCGCGGATACCCGCCGGGGCAGAGCAGCGCCCCGTAGCACTCCTGGGCCGCCAGAGCCAGAGGGGGGGGAGAGAGAGAGAGAGAGAGAGAGAGACCTCTTCCTCCCTCCCTCCCTACTGCTCCTCCCCGCACCGTCGTCCTCCTCCTCCTCCTCCTCCTCCTCCTCCTCCTCCTCCTCTACCTTCTCCTCCTCCCCCTCCTCCACCCTCACTCCCCCTCCCCCTTCCCCTCTCCCTCCCTCCTCTTCCTGCTCCTGCTCCTGCTCCTCCTCCTCCTCCTCCTCCTCCTCCTCCTCCTCCCTCCCGCCCTCGCTCACTCATGAGCTCGCCCACTCGCTCACTCACTCCTCCTGCGCCGCTGGATCTTCGCGCGCGGAGGGTGGGAGAGGGGGGGGGCACGGTATCGAGGCGCATGGGCCTGTGCTGTCTGAGCGGCTCTCGCCGAGCACCACGGGCACTCATGCCTTGGCGTTCCTGGGGCCCACGCGCTCACCCTGGCCGTCGTAGGAAATTTCATAAACCTAGATTTTCGGATGCCCGCGCGGAGCTCTTGGATCGGCGCTGGCGTCTTTCCCTGGAGCGCGGAGCGCGCAAGAGGCAGCGCCGGAGGCGCAGCCAGGGGGTCCAGCGCATATCAAAGAAATTCGCGCGGCCCGCCGAGCATTTATAATTGTGCTGGGTTCTCTCCTTCGAATGGAGGGAGCGGGGGGGGGGCGGCGGTGTTCGTCAGTGTTGTGAGCAGCTCGGCTGTGAGCCTCTCGGCGTGTGGGGGCGGTTGCTCCCCTCCACTTATCGGCATCTTTATATTCCTTCCCCATCATCCTCCCCCCTCGCTCGTAATTTTTTGACGCCCGAAGTGATTACGGGAAGAAGGGGTACACTGCCCAACAACAAATGTTGTCCCAAACCAACAGCGGCCGCTGTTGGGCAGGCGGCCTTCTGTCTCGAATGAACACAGGCCGCGGCGGCGTGGCGTGGACAGCGAATCCTGTTCAAAATGAACAAGATCCGCTGTTGGGCATTGTACCCATTCTTTCCGTGCCCAGTTCGTTCGTGCAGATAATTATCGGCAGGGGTGGGCCGGGCCCCCGATTTTTTTTGTTCACTGACCGCTACCCCCCCCCGAGGAGGGTGAGACGCTCTCCCGAAAAAGGGTGTTCGCCGGTTCCTAGGTCTAGCAACCGAGGACGCCTCCTAGCAACTGCGCCTCTGTTCCGGGGGTGCCTGACCAAATCGTCCCGCCCCGCCGACGGAGGCCTCAATTATGAAACGGAATATGAACGTCCTGGCGTCGCGAAGAAAATCACGACGAGAGGCCGTCGGTCGCTTTCGGCAGCTTTCGGCCTCTGGGGGTCCTTGCTGGGTCCAGGGGTCTGTCGAAAGACGGCGTGCACTGCGCGGGGAAGAGGGATGAGGAGGACAATGAGGATGAGGATGAGGATGAGGATGAGAAGGCGGAGGGAGGGAGAACGGGGGATTGTGGAGTCGCAGGGGTTCAAAAGCGCGCGCGCGAGGGTTTCGCGCTGAGTTCGCGACTGTTTCTGTGCAAACTCTGCTCTGTGTCGTCCTCCTCCTCCTGCTCCTCCTCCGCCCCCTCCTCCTCCTCCTCCTCCTCCTCCTCCTCCTCCTCCTCCTCCTCCTCCCTCTCCCCCTCCTGCTACCTCTCTGCCGTTTTTTTTTTCTCCAGGCGCCCCCCCCCCAGAAAAAAAACAAAACAAAAAAACAAAAACAAAAAAAGTTGTTTTTTTTTTCTGGGGGGGGGGCGCCAGGAGAAAAAAAAAGGAATGCGACGTGACCACATCTGCCCTCCCCCCTAGAAGGATTCCTATTGGACGCCCCCACAAGAAGGATTCACAGTAAAATCCTCGACAGAAGGGATCCTATCGAAACCCTCCACTGAATGATTCCTACCGAAATCCTCCACATGTGGATTCCTACTGAACCCCTCCACTGAATGATTCCTACTGAAACCCTCGAATGGCAATGGCAATGGCAATGGCAATGGCAATGGTAATGGTAATGGTAATGGTACTGGTAATGGTTACGGTAATGATAGTGGTAACGGGGTAGCGAGGCTATGACAATGGCAATGGCAACGGTAATGGTAATGGTAATGGCAATGGCAATGGGAATGGCAATGACAATGGCAATGGCGATGGCAATGGTAACGGCCATGGCAATGGTAATGGTAATGGTAAGTGTAGAGGTAAAGGTAGAGTTAAAGGTAATGGTAATGGTAATGGTAATGGTACTGTCAATGGCAGTGGTAATGGTAATGGTAATGGTAATGGGAATGGAAGTGGGAATGGGAACGGGAATGGAAATGATAGTGGTAGTGGTAATGGTAATGGCACTGGTAATGGTAATGGTAATGGTTATGGAAATTGTAATAGTATTGGGAATGGGAATGAGAATGGGAATTCTAATGGTAATGGCAGCGGTAGTATCATGGTAATGGGAATGGGAGTGGAAATGGTACTGGCAATGGTAATGGTAGTGACGAATGGCAAGGGCAATGGCAATGGTGATGGTAATGGTAATGACAGAGGTAATGGTAATGGTAATGGTACTGGTAATGGTAATGGTAATGGTACTGGTAATGGCAACGGTAATGGTAATGACAATGGTAATGAGATTGGCAATGGCAATGACAATGATAATGGCCATGGCAATGGCAACGGCAATGGTAAGTGTAATGATAATGGCAATGGTAATGGGAATGGGAACGGGAATGGGAATGTGAATGGGAATAGGAAAGGGAAAGGGAATGGAAATGGTAGTGGTAATGGTAACGGAAATGGGAATGATAAGGGTAAGGGTAAAGGTAGAGGTAAAGGTAATGGAAATGATAGTGATAATGGTAATGGTAATGGTAATGGTCATGAGAATGGGAATGGCAATGGAAATGGTACTGGCAATGGTAATGGTAGTGGCTAATGGCAATGGCAATGCGAATGGTAATGGTAATGACAGAGGTAATGGTAATGGTACTGGTAATGGTAACGGTAATGATAGTGGTAACGGGGTGGCGATTGGCAATGGCAATGGCAATGACAACGGCAACGGCAACGGTAATGGCAATGGCAATGGGAATGGCAATAGCAATGGTAATGGCCATGGCAATGGCAATGGCAATGGTAATGGCAATGGTAATGTGAATGTGAATGGGAACGGGAATGGGAATGGGAATGGGAATGGGAACGGGCATGGAAATGGCAGTGGTAGTGGTAACGGAAATGGGAATGGTAAGGGTAAGGGTAAATGTAAAGGTAGAGGTAAAGGTAATGGTAATGGTAATGGCAATGGCAGTTGTAATGGTAATGGTAATGGTAATGGTATTGGGAATGGGAATGTGAATCGGAATGGTAATGGTACTGGCAACGGTAATGGTAGTGGCGAAGGGCAATGGCAATGGCAATGGTAATGGTAATGGTAGTGGCGAATGGCAATGGTAATGGTAGTGGCGAATGGCAATGGCAATGGCAATGGTAATGGTAATGGCAATGACAGTGGTAATGATAATGGTACTGGGAATGGTAATGGTGACGATAACGGTAATGGTAATGGTTATGGCAATGGTAACGGGGTAGCGATTGGCAATGGTAATGGGAATGGCAACGGCAACGGCAATGGCAATAGCAATGGCCATGGCAATGGTAATGGTCATGGTCATGGTCATGGTCATGGTCATGGTCATGGTCATGGTAATGGTAATGGTAATGGTAATGGTAGTGGTAATGGTAACGGGAATGGGAATCGTAGTGGTAATTGGAACGGGAACGGGAATGGAAATGGTAGTGGTAGTGGGAAAGATAATGGCAATGGTAATGGAAATGGTACTGGTATCGGTAATGGTAATGGCAATGATGATGGGAATGGGAATTGTAATGGTGATGGCAGCGGTAATGGTAATGGTAATGGCAATTGTGTTGGTAATGCTAATGATAATGGCAATGGTAATGGTGGTGGCGAATGGTAATGGTAATGGTAATGGTAATGGTAACGGTAATGGTAACGGGGTGGCGACTGGTAATGGCAATACCATGGCACTGGCAACGGCACTGGCAATGGCAATGATAATGGCAATTGTAATGGCAGTGGTAATGGCACTGGCAATTGTAATGGCAATGGTAATGGTAATAGTACAGGTAAAGGTAAAGATAAAGGTAAAGGTAATGGTAATGGTAACGGTAATGTGAATGGGAATGGGAATTGGGATGGGAATGGTAATGGTAATGGTATTGGGAATGGGAATGGAATGGGAATGGGAGTGGGAGAGATTGAGAGAGAGAGAGAGAAAACGAGAAAGGAAACAACAGCATAATGATGAGGAACAAAGTGACATATCGTACATTTTCGTTTAAAACCCACAGCGACTCCACAATCCCCCAGCCTCGAGGGAGGAGGGAGGATGAAGGAGGAGTATAGGATGGGATGAGGGGGAGGGAGGGAAAAGAAGGAGGCCGAAGGGGGTGGAGAATGCACAGACGACGAGGAGGATCGAGGTTCGAGGAGGAGGGGGGAGGAGGAGCAGGATTGAGATCCAGGGACCAAAGAGCAGGGGAGAGGAGGGCGTGCGGAGCCCGCAGTTGAGGCGAGGGCGCCTGCCCCACAGGGATACTCTCCGATCGTTGCGCGGCAGAGCCCTTGGCGTCGACCCTGGGCGGCCAGGGGACGACGACGCTCGTGGGGTGGCCGCCGCGCGGTCCGCATGCGGGCACACACGCGTGCGGTGGGGCGCGAGCCGTCCTCGAGATGGCACGCAGGGCCCCCCCCCCCACCAGAGGTTCGCGGGGCGGCGCCTGACTGCAGCCGGAAAGCTGTAGAAGTCGTCCCAGGGGGCAGGGGCGGGGCGCGCGCGGGGTCGAGCGCGCCTCTCTTGCTTCCGCCCGCCGATGCCACAAGGCGACTCCGCCGGCCCTGTCGGCGTGTGTGAGGGGCTCGTCTGATCGAGCCGTCGTCTCCGTCAGTCGTCGTCTCCGTCGTCCCCTTTCCCTGCACCCTCCTCCTCAGGCTTATCCGCGAGAGGAAAATCTAGCAATG